CATTGTTAAACATGGAGATTATAAATCAACGAGTAAATCGTGCAACATAAATGTGGCTAGAACTATGGCTGGAATATTTCATTGTGCATGTGCATACATATACATACAATACGTAATTGAGTTTTCGGTTTCTATGCAGAATGGAACGATTTGAAATCAAAAATAAAGTGGTACAAGGTCGATGCTCGAGATTTACATAAATACGAGTGGTGGTAATACGTCTTCATTAAAAATTCAGATAACGATAACGAATAAAATTCAAAGGTTTAAAAGCTCAAACAGATCAAGAAAATGAATTCATTGTGTAGTGAAACCGATAACTCTAGCGTAGCCACTCGGCCAATAGTCTTTATTGATTCGAGTGATTCGAAACAAAAAATTACCCACAGTGATACCGGTCTAATGTTTAGACCTCCTTTCCCCCCAGTGCTAGAGGCTGATGATATTTTCGGTAAAAGACCAGATGGAACTAATCCCACCAAACCACCCAATGCTTTCATCCTTTACCGTAGAGCGTTTGTGAAGTCTGCTTCAGCCAATGGATATAAATTCCCAATGACGGTGATTTCCTCGATGGCCTCGCAAGCCTGGGAACAAGAATTACCTTTTATTAAAGAAGAATATAAGAAAATTGCCAACGAGGCAAAGAAGAAACATGAATTATTATTCCCAAAAGCACCTAAAATAAACGAATCCAAAAGATGGCGTGTATATCCAATTAAGCCAAGAAATAAATCTACACCAGAACAGAGCACACCTTTAGTTGCAAATACAGCATCACAAATTATTTCTGTGCCATCTACTCTTTCTGCATCACAGGTCTTCAATGAAAATAATATGACCTCTCGTGAATGGGAGCAACTTTTCAACTTTTATATAGATTCAAACCAAGAAAAGAACGATGAGCAAAATGTTTTTATTTGGAAAAATTTCCTCGAGAATGAAGATCAAGTAGAACATCGGAGTTCAATTGATCCTTTCCAATCAGATCAATTCCCTGAATTTTCCGTTGAAGCTCAACTTAATACATTCTTAGAAGTTGAGAATAATACTGAAAAACTTGGATTAATACCAGAAATGGATTTAACTCATTTGGAGCAAAATCTAATAAATGAATCCCTAGATTCATGCTGTTCTTCAATTGATTTCTGTCTATTGAAAGAATATGAACCATTAGACTTCATCATTCCTCAGGGAGAAGACAATGTTTATTATCCAGATTTTATGCAACCTAATTAGTCGATTGAAAGTTTCGTTGAACAATTCTTTTCCTTTTTACCAATTTATTAAAAAGCTTACGACAAAGCTAGGGGAGAAATTACGTCACAATCCATTTCAACTCATATAAGAAATACCTAGTTAATTCAAAAATTGTAAATTTAAGATATTTAAGAATTATTTATAAGCTCTAAGGATTATGTTATGCTTTACAAATAGCAACACAACTCTGTTCATAAATCTTGAAATTGTAATATAAAATCCCTTTGATTTACTGTATATATCGTATGAATATAAAAATTAATAAATAAAAACTCTAAACAGTTCTTTATTAAAAGCTTTGTGTAGTTTGCGGTATCGGTATTGCCTTTTCTACAGCAGAAAATCCCAGTTTAGTCAATCTATCATCACGGGTTTCATCGTTTCGTCGCGTCATTTATCATCATGAAAATAGTTTCGTCAGGTATCATTGGCCTGTTCATTAAAATGAAGATAGTCCAAAAATAAAATATTAAATAATTTATAATTTTGGTCGACATTTACTATCGCTACATGTGTACATGTATATTGATTTCAAGTCTAGTTTAATTTACAAAAAAAGCAATTCACATTCCCTTAACGAAAGGTTTCATCAATATAACATTCAGTAGTTCCAACTTAATACTGAAATCAAAATTACATATATTTAGCTTATGTAGTAATTTGTAAAGAAACGTATTTATCAATCGTCAAGATCAAAACAAATTACTTAACGAAAAGTTTCGGGTATCGTTAACACAAGCCACAATAATTGCATATTTTAATCTGCGATTTTACTGAAAATTATATGTGGAATTAGAATGAGTTGGAAACCCACAACTTGAAAAATATTCCTTTTAAAATATATTCGATTTTAATTAATTTGATTAACAAAAAAAGTATTTGATATATCCCTCATATTCTCGATATAGTGAAAATGAGCTCAAAATCAGTACATGTATACAAGTACTGTAACTATAATGAATTTCAACTATAATAATTATTATGTTTATTTATATGTAGAAATATGAAGCACACATACTTTTTAATGTCATAATTAATATCTAAATAGATGCGGCCATCGGTCAAATGTCAAATTGGTTATGTCTACGATTTTATTGGACATTGTCCAATGAAAACTCTGCCACTAAGCTGCGATTTTTTTCTCAACAAATTTCTGAGCCTTGTTTTGCGGCTATTATTCTCGGGTTTGGACAAGAATTCTTTGAAGAGACCTCTGTTTAAAGGTTATTATTTGTTTTTTGTTTCTTGAAGGCGAGATTATTAGAATTAGCTACTCTCTAGTTTATCAATGAAATACACCTCATTTGATGAAATGAAACTCTAATTAGGAATTACAAAACTTTGGAACGTGCAAGACAATTTAGCTAACAACCAGTTACTGTATCTGCATCACTTGGTAGTCATATACTAAAAAAAGGCCTAGCTAATAATAGCTATAGGGCAAGTATTCAATGTCAATGAAAAACACGGGCAAGAGCAAAACAATCAAAAATGAAAAGCGGACAAAGTATTGCTCGGGATTTACATAAATACGAGTGGTGGTAATACGTCTTCATTAAAAATTCAGATAACGATAAAGAATAAAATTCAAAGGTTTAAAAGCTCAAACAGATCAAGAAAATGAATTCATTGTGTAGTGAAACCGATAACTCTAGCGTAGCCACTCGGCCAATAGTCTTTATTGATTCGAGTGATTCGAAACAAAAAATTACCCACAGTGATACCGGTCTAATGTTTAGACCTCCTTTCCCCCCAGTGCTAGAGGCTGATGATATTTTCGGTAAAAGACCAGATGGAACTAATCCCACCAAACCACCCAATGCTTTCATCCTTTACCGTAGAGCGTTTGTGAAGTCTGCTTCAGCCAATGGATATAAATTCCCAATGACGGTGATTTCCTCGATGGCCTCGCAAGCCTGGGAACAAGAATTACCTTTTATTAAAGAAGAATATAAGAAAATTGCCAACGAGGCAAAGAAGAAACATGAATTATTATTCCCAAAAGCACCTAAAATAAACGAATCCAAAAGATGGCGTGTATATCCAATTAAGCCAAGAAATAAATCTACACCAGAACAGAGCACACCTTTAGTTGCAAATACAGCATCACAAATTATTTCTGTGCCATCTACTCTTTCTACATCACAGGTCGTCAATGAAAATAATATGACCGCTCATGAATGGGAGCAACTTTTCAACTTTTATATAGATTCAAACCAAGAAAAGAACGATGAGCAAAATGTTTTTGTTTGGGAAGATTTCCTCGAGAATGAAGATCAAGTAGAACATCGGAGTTCAATTGATCTTTTCCAATTAGATCAACTCCCTGAATTTTCTGTTGAAGCTCAACTCAATACGTTCTTAGAAGTTGAAAATAATACTGAAAATCTTAGACTAATACAAGAAATGAATTTAACTCATTTTCCAATAAATGAATCCCTAGATTCATGCTGCTCTTCAATTGATTTCTGTCTATTGAAAGAATATGAACCATTAGACTTCATCATTCCTCAAGGAAAAGATAATGTTTATCATCCAGATTTTTATGCAACCCTCTTCGATTGAAAGTTTAGACGAACAATTCCTTTTTACCGATTTGTATATTAAAGCTAGCGAAAATCCTTTGATTATTAGTTTTTTATTCCTAGCATAAAAACATCCATAAGTTTTTATAAACCCGCGTTATTAACGATATAATTTAAGATGTTATAAGTCTAAGAAATTTTCATAAAATATTAGTAATATATACTGTATATATATTTATTTATTTATTCAAGCTTCCCATCTAATGTAAATTTAAATCTCGCAGATTTTATGTATATATGGATAAATATTAAAAACTATAATAGCAAACAAAAAAAATCTTACATAATAAAAATAATAAAAGAAAGCTCCTTTCCATTTTCGAACAAAATTAAACTGTTTTATGCAGACTATAAAGTATTTTTAAATATTATCATTAGGACTACGCGCGTAATTAATCGGATCTCTTTCTATAAAATCGTTTCAGCATAAAAAAAATAACATATGCATGCACAATTGATAACTTGATTCACTAACTGTGCATAAAACTTGAAAAGTTCGTTTTATCACTTTCGATTTTGAGATAGTAATAACAATGAAATCAAATAAATTTAAAGTTGCCTTGTTGGAACGCTTGATATTTACTTTATCAATACCGGAAATATAACGATAACATATGTGCATTATGCAACAAAATATAGAGCGAGAGTATTGTTAGGCCATACAAAATAAATTTTTTGGTTTTCATAACACAGAACAGAAATATATGACCCGGCAACCCAGCTTTTAATTTTAAATTTTATCATTAAAAATATAAAAAGAATTTATAATATGTAAAAAGATTTTTTTAAAAATTTGCAAAAACTGACCCGGCCGTATGAAAATTAACTTTGTGTGTGGTCTTAATTTATTTGATTACTAGATATTTTTGGCAAGTCGATGTATTTAATATAGTATCTTCATGATACTTAAAAGAAATTATTACTTTTATTACTTAAGGAAACACTGCATTTCTCACGACTTGTAAGTTTTAAATCTATTAATAAAGAAATTCTTTTAATGAAAATGATGCTAAATTTACTAAAAAATTTATTTCTATTGAATTATTCCAAGATAACCAATTTGTAACATTCTTTTCTAGCAACAAAAGTCATACACAGTGACTCTCGATATAACGGATGGTTTGGGCACTTAGAGAAAAAATTCAAAAGTCCGCTACATTGTGAGTTTGTTGAGATTTATTCCGTTATATCGAGGATTTAATTAGTATCCGCTATATCGTAAGTTTGTTATATCGAGAGTCACTGTGTACATGTAACAATATCCAGCTTTGTACATGTATATGCTATGCATTTCATCCTCGCAGTTATTTTTTTCTAAACATCAAATTCAGATCTCTATAATTTTTTTCGCGTCGTTTCAAAGTTTTTATTTATGTGGATTTATCGTAATTGTTATTGTTTTCTCATTCATTTAAACGAAATATAGAAGATCAGTAATTTCCAAGTTCATATTATTATCATTCTCGATCGCGATTACGAAATCAGACGTTTTAAATGTTTCAGCAGCAGTGAAATTAACAGAATTTAATTTATGAAGTAATTTTATTTTGCAATTATTTAACTTACTAATTTAGATAATTTCATATTTAAAATTCTTTTATTCAAGTGAGCATATAGAATTTGTCTCTTCTAAAACTTCCGCTTTCGCATCTCCTACATCACAATCTCCATCACTATATAGCATTAATAATAATAACAAAGGTACTGTAACACAAGATCTCATGGTGTAAACACTACATTAATAATAACAGCAGCAACCTAACTCAAAATAAGGACTCCGGTAATGAAAATTCTCAACAACAGCCTCATACTCCATAATTAACCACATTCAAAGCTGTAATTGTTGATGGATCGCAAACTCGTTTAATGCATGACTCTTTTTAATTTGCAGCGGATTTCTGATCTGATTTTGTAGAGCCACAGCAAAATACTAATATTGTAAAAAACAGTTTTTTTTGAATGTTGATAGAAATGTGACTTAACGATTTTGGGATGAAAAATTCAATATGTATTTTGTTTAGTGTTCCTTAAAAATATTGTAGGATTTATGGGGATTATATTATAAAAGATTCAAGAATCGTGTGTTTATAGCTGAATCATTAATTTTTAATTCACACTCCTCATGATACGATTAAAGATTAGAACTGAATTCAGTTCGTCCGGATCAAACATGCTCCTCGAGGATTTTCTCAAACCGGATACCTCGATTGCAAAAGGGCACGTAAAGTATTAAATCCGAATCCAATCACTAATTTTAATTCATTTACAATCAGATAATGCCTAAACTTCAAACGACAGAAAATGTCTGGATAAGAACATGCAGCCAAATTAGATAAAATGAAGGCCTCATGATTTGAACGAATCTTTACAAATTCATATAATAAAAAGCTCATAGATTTACACGTTTTTGGTTTGCAGCAGTAAACTGGAGACTAATTGACTATGCATAATGACCCAAATGACCTGTGTCATTTGGGTCAGTTATAATAATGTATATCGTGGGTTCGGTGAATATAAGTATTAAACATTTGAGATTTAGATTTTTTTAAATAATTATTTTATTTCCTTTTGAAATGAGTATATGCACTATTGTTGATAATTATAAATGTTATTACAATTGGTACATTAATACAGTTTATTATACAGTCTCCTCCCGCTATATTCACATCGCAATTGTCTATAGTCACGCCTGAATATATAAATTTCGCTCACATTAGTCACATTCCTTATTATAAACCTGCATGCAAATAAGCAAATAAAATGCCTGACTGGACCATGTGACTAAAGCGGTACATGTAGTCAATGGCATCAATATAGGTGAAAAACAGGATATAGATTAATATATCATGTTATGCAATATCGAAAGAATATAAGATAAACATAACAAGTGTGTTTTAAGAAAAATGCCTGTAAATGGAAAGATAGATTTTTCTATAAATAAACATGATATATAAAGTATATACTGTATTCATATCATAAAAGTTACATTGAAAGTTTCTGCTCAAAGTTAAAAAAGTAGTTTAGCTGCCAATTAGAATAAATTTTTTCAAAATTGAAAAGATTCAACCATTCGGAAAGCTCGATCATGACCGTTTTCTTTAGCTTTTTGATACATTTTATTGCTAAGTCAAATATCTATTCCATATGAATAAAATATTACCAAGATTAAAATTTAGCCTTATTGTACATGTACCTAGAGATGCATCGGTTCGGTTTGCATCAGTTTGAAACCGAGATCATCAAAATTTTATCCACTTAGTGATGTGTAAAATCAAGGTTTTATGCCACTATTTAGTTAGTGATGTGATTATTAAAATATTCTTTGGCAAAAAAATCTATCAATAACAAAATACAAGTAATTTTTTGACATAAAAAATTATCAATAACGAAATTTGACAATATAAAAATAATTTTCTGACAATTTAAGATTAATTAACTACGTTATTTGTATTATGATGCTTGATATTCTGAAAATTATAATGATCGCGTCACTTTGTCTTTGTTTCTGTCCGTTTGTTTTGGTGGTGTTTTATTTCGTGTTCTTTATCGTTATGGCCTAATTTAATAACGATTTAATAAAAATTATAATCAATCTCCCAAATATCACGATTATTTTTCGCTTGAAAGGACGAAGAT